GACAATGTGTAATGCTCATTCATTAAAACTCATAGATTTTCAAATTTCAAACTTACATGGCCATCATGTTTGTGCGTACGAAGGAAATCCAGAAGAGGCTCCAAACTTTCTTTTTTACTGAACATAATTGAGGATAAGTGACGGTTAAGGTATTGAACCCCATTTCCAATTGATGATGACCGGGTTGGTCGAGGGAATGCTGCATTAAATGGCTCGAAATCAAGTTCAAGCACATAGTTGTCATTGCACCTAGGAAAATCATTTCAAATTCAGATTGTACTTGTGGATAAAGCATTTGAAAGAGCAAGTAAAAACTGTTTAGTCGGTCGGCACTATTTAATGCTACACCAGGTAGGAAAGTGCAGAGATTCAGCATAAATTACAAATTTCAGTAACAAAGATTTACATATGAGATCCCTTACTCTCCATCTATAAGTTCTTCCTTGAACTTAAGATATTCTGCAACAGTCAAATGATCCACACTGAGTTCATACACATTGACTCGAACATATTCCCAAACACCAGGTCTTGGACGAAATGCAAGAGCAACGAAAGGAGGTAGAACAATTGCTTCCTAAATGAAAAATAAAGAAGGAATCAGAAAACCAGAACTACAAAGACCACTTCGACCCATGTTAGCTATTCACTGAGTATTTGGACATTGCATGAAAGACATAAGAGAGCACTTCTTTGCTTGGTACGCTAAACAGAAACATCAATGTGATGACCACTTTAAAATACCAACAAAGTGCCTTTTCCATATCACTTACGGCAAAAAATAAAGAAGCTTACAAATCAAAAACCCAATAAACATGTTATACTGCATTGCAAATACATTATGTCACTTAAAACATCATAGCAGCATGACTACCTCTGTCCAATTGACTGCAAAACGGCCCCTTACCTCACCAGCACAAACTTCTTGCATAAAGCATCTAAAAATTAGGGAAACTAAAATATATGTGCTGAATCCCATTGATTGTCATCAGTGTCTGAAATCAAAATTTCACCTCAACCAAGGTTACGAGCCATGCACAATGAAGATTTTGTTGACTATTTGACTCAATAATGCACCTACAACCTTGAAATTTGGTTGATTGGTTGCTTTCGGCTGTTCATCTTGGTATTTGGTTGATTGGCAGACAAATTGCATGGGAATGCATTTATTATGGGCAGCTTTATATTGAGCCGTGGGCACATTAATTATTGGACTTTGATTAATTAATTGGTTTGACTTGATTAGCAGCCCACCCATTGGATCCTTTGAATTGCCACTCATCCTTCGGCTTTAAAAGGGGAAGTAGCCCAGCAGATGGAGAGAGCCGCACCAAAGCAACGCAGAGATTAACGTAGAGAGAGAGAGAGAGAGAGAGAGAGAGAGAAGAGAGAGAGGGAAAATAATAGTTGGGCAGCAAAACAATTTGTGGCTGCCGTTGGTTATTTTTCCCTTTCTTCAAATTGTACTTAATTTGTATTCCCTTTATATTCTTGAGTGTGTGAGCTTGGGTATATTTGGGGCTTGGGTTTCTGAGTGTTAAACATTATTGTATTCTCTTATTTGATTATAGTGGATTATTCCGTCGTCTCTAAACTGAATGTAGGCATTGCCGAACTAGTATAAATTTTGGTGTTCTTGTTGGTGTTGTTTTATTCTTTTTATCTCTTGTCAGTTGTTGTTTATTTTTCACTCACAGTTGGTTGATGCTTCCGCACAACAGATTTTTGCTTTCTTAGGTTGCACATAATGGAAACTTGGAACTTTATATCGTAACGTTTAAATTGTCATCTTCTAAGAAAACAAATAACTTCCTCTTATGAACTGGACAAAGAAATCCCAAAAACATAACATTCTCATTTCAAGCACAATAACATAACTAATATATTTGTACACCAAAAATGGAAAAATAAATAATAAAAAAGACAATAGCACAAGTGTGTGTAGCAAAATTGACTGACCTGGGCAGACTGTAAGACTTTGCTGAAGGGGCTATCCTTGAGCTTCTGCAATCCTTCATCCTCTTGAATCACTTTTTCCAGCTCGTCTATGATTTGATAAGATTGTAGTATCCCCTTTCCTCGGTCAACAAACCTTTCAACACAACAACATCTCTAATTTGTCAAAAACCCACATCTACTTTTTAAATATATTTTCAAAACGAACTCTCCATTTGAAAAACGAGAGAGAGAGACCTGGAGAGAAGAGAAACAAGTTCATTGCAGTGAGCAGCGAGCGTGTTCTGAATCCACTTTTTCATGGTGGAAGTTCCTCAGTCCTCACACACACCACCAGAGAGAGAGAGAGAGAGAGAGAGACGGAGAGAGAGAGAAAGGTAGCAAAGCAGATAGAGAAAATATTACAGTGAGTCATACAAAAGAGGAGGAAGAAAAAGCAGATGAAGGTGAAGATGCCCTTCAACATAAATATATGAAGGGACAAAAAAGAAACGGTAGAAGATGAGAGAGGAGGGATGGAGACAAAAATAGCCGTCAGCCATTGTTTGCTCTGATCAGATTCAGAGAGAGCGAGAGAGAGCGAGACGGTGAATCGGTTCGGTTGGGTGATAAATGTGAAGGCGTGTTCGTCCAGAGTCAACACTCTTCCCTCGCTTTTTGAAATCCAAACGGTGGGATTGGAATTTATCGATAAAAGTATTGCCCCACATTAATTGGGCCTTGTAAGGGCTCGGAGACGGATCGGTTTGCAAGTAGGCCTAATACCACGATTTTAACGGATTTTTTTTTTTGACGGATTTGATGTTGGTTGCAATGTAGACCACTCAATTTTGGTCACGGGATAATGTGAGTCACTTTGATTTGTACTAGTAAAGTAGAATTTGACCATAATTTCGAAGGGAAACTAAACGATATTATATTATGTTCAGGGATTAAGGTATGAAATGATTTGTATAACGAAATTATGAAAGTTCATAAACCTAATCGTTGCGGAATCTAATTCACCTAGGTTGGTGCGGAATCTAATTCACCTGGGTCGAGGGACTCACTGATTGCCATTCTTTCTGCCTAACTAGCTTTTTTATTTTTTAAAAAAGGTTCTGTTTAGGGTTTAGATTATATTTCTTTATTATGGCCGTCAAAGACTAGAACAATAAATCCAATTGCCAATGATTATGTACCTATACGGAAAAGAAAAGCAAAGAAGATGCTTGCGTGTCACCAAATTAACAGGCTCCTTTATTTAGTTATATTTATAGTGTTCTTATTGGTAGACTTGTCAACATGCATATATACACACACACACAGAAGTGAATTAACTTGATTCACCAAATATTTCTAGAAATATTTAAAAAGCTAATGTTTAATTAAAGGTATTATAAATAAAGAAATAACAAACGCAAGTATCATTTCGAAAGGTAAAGAGATATTATCCTACTTATTATAATATAGAAACACAGATCTGTTCATCATTTATCTCACACTCAATCTAATATAATAACTGCAAAAACAAAAACGCACAAGATACAGGAGAACAAGAATCAATCTTCTTTTTGACTGACTCCTGGAGTACTGAATCAAATTATTACTGACTCATGGAAATCCTCTTTTTTCCTGATTTTTTCAATGGCATAAGAAGAAAGCATGTATATCATCAGACCCGATCTCTTGGACTCGAGGTCCAAGAGATTTGTGGTCACTCACCATTGAATGTAATTCAACGGTTCACTCACTCTTGCACTCATTTTAAAAAACTTTTTTGAACCATTGGATTAATATCCGACGGTGGGTCACCATAATCTCTTGGACCGTTGTGGTCCAATAGTTCGGGATTGTGTATATCATATACTAAATTCAGAAGCGCACTATGGAGAGAGAATTCTAATTTTATTTTATTTTAATCAAAGAATTATAACTAATTAATTAAGCAAGTCCTATATAACATATAACATATTCTGTGGTGGCCAATAATTAAGGATGGAGTATTATTATAAGCTTGTGTGAGTAATGAGACTACTATATATAATGAGGTTTGGCCCCAAGGAATTCAAATCAAAGCAAAACTTGTAATCAGTTTTAAGTTGTAGTTAACATGGGGAATCAAGTTTCCTCTTCTCCTGCTCCTACACCTTCTCACTATTATCAAGGAGATCGATATGGAGCCCCAGTGGTGGCGACCAATATGGAGAATCACGGAGCTCCACAAAAGCTGCAAAGGCCTTACAATAACTCTGTCATCAGCTCTGACGAGGCAGTACGAATCCATGACCACTACGTCTCCAACATGGAGAATCACGCAGCTCCACAGAAGCAGCAAAGACCTTACAATAACCATGTCATCAACTCTGACGAGGCTGTGCGGAAGTATGGTGGGATATGTGTCACAGAAAAATATGATACGAGTTCTACTCGTACCAATAAACCAACCCCAGTCATCAATCGTAATAGGCGTTCTTATTAGTTAATCATATGATCATGAATGCTTTTGTACTGAAACCAATGTCCTGGCTTCTATTGATCCGTTTGCTATAAGCTAAATCTTCCTACAGCTTTAGATATAAAGCTGTTTAATTATTACTAAGGGAAGCATGCAGCTTATCAACTATATGGGATCAATATAGTATATAGACATCTTTCTAATTATGATCAGTCCTTTTGTTTTGGTATGTACTCTCCACATCTTTCTAATTATGCCCTACTTTGTAATATTACATAACACAACTCCATCGCGTGTATTTTAAGGTTTTACTCTCTCTCTCTCTCCCTCTCTCTCATGAATTAATTCGACTTGCATGCATGATTGGGAAACTGAAGATGATCTAAGTCATCATCAGCAGTTTGATTAAAGGTTAAATTGTTGAAAGAGACATAATCAATAAAATAAACAGTTTAAATTGTTGAAATACAATACAAATGAGCTCTACAAAAATACTCCTCAAATAAGTTTATTTGAGAGATTTGTCACATGTAGCTCTCAATTTGGGTATTTTTTAAAGAGATAATATATGAAATAGATGGTTTGAATTGTTCAAATACAATATATTTAAAGAGATAATATATGAGATTTGTCACATATAGCTCTCAAAGAATTCATCATATGCAGCTCTCAAGAACGAAACGAAACCAGATAAACTATGATATTGATTCCTATCATTCTCTTCAAGAAGAAATATCTTCACCTCCCACAATTTGTGCGTATTCCTATTTTTCATTAATGTGTTCTGTACCAACAATATCCATGGGTCCACCTACCACAAAATTCTTAGCACCAAAGAATCTTCTATATAATAATCAAAATTAAATTTAATAGGGCAAGCTGCTATTTTTTGAGTTTGTTTATACAAATTAAATGGTATAGGGTTTATCTATATTACTAGTTCTAATAATGAATATATAACTAAATATCTCTACTTTTTTTTATCTATATATACACACACTGACACTCATAGGAGTTCAAACTTTGAGACTACTAGTGTATAAGTCAGTGCTATTTTTCCTTAGGATAGGTCCTGTTGATAAATATTATATTATATTAAGGGATTAGGAAATGATTCATATGAACTGTGAAAGTTCATAAACCTAATCGGTGTGGAATCTGATTCACCAGGGTCCAGGGTCTCACTAATTCCATCCTTTCTGCCTAAGCTTTAAAATAAAATAAAAAAGTCATGTTTAGGGTAGATTATATTATTTTATATTTTATTTCTTCTTTTTCTTAAAAGGGGGAGGACAGCTGGTGGCAAGCCACGGCCATCCACCCCTTCCGGGACCCGGAGAGGCTATAGGGAATTTCACCCCGTCCCTGGCCCTCATTCACTTGGGTCAAGGGTCTCACTCATGAATTGCCATCCTTTCTGCCTAACCTGTATATCTGTGCGTTAGATTGGATAGAGACCGACTCAATTATTAACATATGGCTCGCTAATCCTACATGCAGGAACTAACGGAATAATTAAGGGATTAAGTTAGCAATGTGATCAATAGATACCATACGACACATAAATTTTAACTTAAAGTTGTTTTTTTAATAAAATTTTAAAAGAGAATAAATGATAGTGGGGTTCATGACTAAAAAATATTGAAATAATATTTGACATCAAGTTAATTTTTTTTGGACATGTTATTTTTTGTCATATGTCTTTCGACCTTTAAATTCATGTAAGATTTGACCACTTGGTTGGAGCAACTTTAACTTTCAATTTTTGCCATTTTATGTCAATGTAGTAATTTGACATATCGAGTGAAGATGCTCTAAGAACATAATAAAGGACACTGTAGTTGCTACGCTATGATTTAGTTCTAAATATCAACAATAACAACAACAAAAATTGTGACAATAAAAATTCCAAAGTAGTCAAAAGTGAAGAGGAACTTATACGTACAATTATTGAGCTTTTCTTTTATCTTCCTTCCTGAAATTTGAACCAAGAAGAAGGAAAGTTTCTAAATCCTCGTGACAATGGTCAAAGTGAATTTGTACAAAGTTAGGCAGGGAATTAATACCTTCCCCATTTCCCCTAAGGAACGTTCTTCTCCCTTTTTTGTGCATGTGTCTTTGTCTGCCTCGAACTCCTTTAGTAATTGCGACAACAAACCCGTATTAGGTTGATTACTGTTAATTTGACACACAAAAAAAAAAAAGCCATTTTGTTCCCAATTAAGGACTCGAGCATTATTGAACGCAAGGTTGTGGCGGGATTGGGAGACAGTACTGGCCGGCTTTGGTAACTTTTTCTGTTGCAAATGCTTTCTCCACTACGTGGAATTATTATTAAGGCAATGTTATATGAACAAGAATATCTTATCCTACCAAGAAGATATCAAGCAAAGGCCTTGCCTACCATGAGATAGGCCATAATTATTATTCATGTTATTGTAAAGAAATAGACAAAGTTATTAGTAAATCAGATACATATATATTAAGTTTGCCATGACCAATGGCCATCAGATCATCAGCTACTATGTTGGCTTCCCGATAAACATGTCTTACGTACTTAGGATTTATCCACATACCCTTGTTATCCATTGGATATGTATATATCATTGTTTTTTCTTTGATGGTGGCGGTTGGGATCTAAAACAAATTGGTCATATGGTCCACAGTCGGTGCAAAGGATAAATTGTCCAAGAAGGGTCCAGGGTATTATGAGATGCTCATGTGCTTGAGTGATTGAATCGAATAAATTTTTTTTTTAAAAGGATAATTGTCCCAGAAAGGGTCCGGGGTTTTATGAGATGCTCATGTGCTTGAGTGTTTAAATCAAATAATTTTTTTTTTTTTTTTTCAATAGAATCTAATGCATATATATCCAAAAAACTCTCCACTAGGAGGGGAAGAAAATAATACAAGACATCCTGTTATTCCTACCATTGTATTGTCTTTGTGGTAGATAATATGTAACGCGTGGCCGAACCTTCATCAGAACTGCTTACTACTTACCCAAATCCTTTGGCTGTTCATTTTTTATGGAGGCACTGCGGACTAAGAACCCTCATCATATGGACAGCATGTTTCAGCCATAGTAGAAAGTATAAAACTACTTAACTAAAACTCCACCTTTTTTATATGAAAGGTCCTAGGTTCAATTGCTCCACCAATGTAGTGATTTGGAGCATTTGTTCCTTCATGAAAGGTCCTGGGTTCGAGTTATAGCATTTATGTAATATGTGTGAGTTTAGTATGTTATCGTCTTTCTGACGCTTTTTTTAGAAGTTCTGAAAAATACAGACTATGAAAGCAATGTTTAGTTATTTCTATCAACTAGTTAACTATTAATAGAGAATATCAAGCGATTTTACAAACAGGCCCTACGGTATGGCCAAGTAACAAGTACTTTTTCTTATTTTATGAAAAAGGGAAGCATCAAAAGAAAATCACAAGATCGATCCTGATTGAGCTTCTGTGACTCTCACTCCTATATAATGTTGCTTGGCTCTTAACCTTTGTTTCAGTAAGGCAAGGCAAACCTGGCTAGCTCTAGCTTCCCTTGATCAATTAGTTCTACTTCAATTCTCAGCTTTTAATTAAGTTAGCATGGCTATTTAGCTCTAGCTTCCCTTGATCAATTAGTTCTACTTCAATTCTCAGCTTTTAATTAAGTTAGCATAGCTATTTATCAAGGCTTTAAGACCATGAGAGAGGAGAAAGTGTTTTATCATAGCAGGTCAGCGAACATTGTATCAGAACGCCACACCATAATAGAAGACTGCCATTGCGTGCGTTATGATCATGTCCACCCTGCAGAAGAAATTTCATACTTCCCAGCCCCTGCCATGAGAGACGAGTACCATGGCGGCTGGCCCACCAAGACTGTCACCGTAAGGCCTCTTCCTCCTCCTCAACAGGTACAATATTATCCATACCCCAACATGGATCAAAATCATGTTCCTCCTCCTCATCATCAGATCAGAAGGCCTGTAAAGACGGTGGAAGTTCCAGCTCAGAAGCCTCATCAGATAAAGGGCGGCGTTCTTACTAGCACTGAGGCAGCAAAGATCTACAAGGGAGTGTTTATTACTGAATATGGTACCAAGAAATATCCTCGACCAAATTGCCGTTAATTTTCTTGGTACACAAGAAAAATAGTCAGCCTTTTCTTCCTCCCTCCCAGTGATCCTTTTAATTACTAGATATACCCTATATCTGCGCAGCGTGTATCTTTTTCTTTTTCTTTTTTTCTTTGTTTCGATTTCCAATGGACATGGCTTCCGGGGCTATCCATCAAGGATTGACCCTGTGAAAGTTGCCGCCGATCAATATGCCAGCGAGTTGTCCTGTAGAATTGGATTGATTATCCTGATCAGCTTGTAATTAATATAGTATGTACGTACCTACATACATATTTCGTACATGATAATATGTGTGTATCTCCAGCTTTTGCTGTGTGCACGTATTCTCGATCTGTATATCTCTCTTTCGTTTTAATATTTACATAATCTATTGTACAATTCAGGATTTAGGATAGCCTATAGTCTTTATATACTAAGCTATAGCTTATTTTCTGCACATAAATGTATATGTTCAGCTTGTAATTATATGTAGAAATCACTTCTTATGTTATAAAAAATATTCTTATTTTCTGTGCCAAAATGAGATTTGATCGTAATTTCAGGAAGTATTGCGGTAAAATAAGTCTAGATTTAAAGCTACACCTCTACATACTTTCTCTTGTTTGGTAATTATGTAACCACTTTTTACGGAAATTTATTTTTTTATTTTTAATAAAAAGAAAAGAGGAGAAGAAAACAACTTCCTTGCAATATCAAAGAGATTTGATTCATGTAATTAAGAAAAGAAATTAACAAAGAAAAAAAGAGTTGGAAGTAGAAAGCGAAAAGGTCAGCGTTGGTGTTGGTCTGATGCACTATACTGACCAGTGTTTTCAAAGGCATGCTTTCCCATGCGGCGGAGTGAGGCGAGAAATATGACAAAAAATAACGTATCCAAAAAAAAAAAGCAGATAATGATGACTGCTCAACTATACGATGACTAGTCAACTATCAAGAACACAAACCTAGAAAATAACCAAACTGCAAACCGAAAAATTGTTCACCCAGAAACCCACCACTGGGAAAAATGGAGGTCATCAACCTACCAGGCAATCCACTAAGCAAAGAAGATTCTTACAAAGGCACACAAGCAAACTTAAGAAATCTTAGATCTATTTAGGAAGATAACCTATACCTCATTTGTGCAATCTTCCTCTCCAACTTAGCAAAGCTAGCAGTTTAGTCCTTCATGGCAATGACAACTCTTTCTTCAGCTCTTTCATCCCTGTTAATATGAAAATTGTATTGTCATTTCTTAGACTCTAGTATAAGTTGGGAATTAGTGTGTGAATATGTTTTACTGGAAGTTTTGGCGCAACACATTCAATTCTGGTTTTTCGAAGCATGCCTTGATCGATATGAAGAACTTGATGATTTCAGGTAAATAATGACATAATCGTGCATTCGTTATAGGATTCCTAGTTGGAGTTATTTTCACTCAATTATTTTTATGTTAATCTTATTTTTAATAGGATTATAGATTTTATCTCTTGAGATTACTTTATTAGTTGGACTCTATTTTGATTTAAGTTAAAATAGTATTTTTCATCTTTGACTTGAAAAGCACATTTTATTAATGGGTGGTGATTTTTTCACTCCCTTTTTGTCCACTTACACTCCCTTTTGTTTTTTTTAATAGTTTTTACTACAACAAAAAAATGAGTGTAAGTAGACAAAAGAGGAGTGGGAACATACAATTTCTAACAAAGAGACTGTAAGTGGATAAAAGAGGAGTGGGAGAATCAGCTACCTTAATACCTAATTGGTCTTTGATAAAGATTGTTATCTTGAATAACAATCCTTGCATAAGCTGACGACTTGAATGGTATTAATGGTCTCCATGTTTTTTGATGTCTTTCATCTTATGCCCATATTGAATCAAAACTAATAGTCATAATTGAATAACATATGTGGTCCTGTTTTGACGTCCTTACTGTGAGTTTATACTGGATCAAGTTTGATAGCCATAATTGGATAGAATTAGTGGAGTCTTGGGTTTCTCTCTTACTAGAGAGAACCAGCTTTGATTAAAACGGAGGCCTTGCTTTTCAAACATATGGCTTTTCAACATTTTTTTTTTTTAGCATATAGAATTCTTAATTGAAAGCTGCTGTGATATTTTTGTGATAAGTCATCAAGTGTTCCATGTTTACTTGGTGATTTATCAAATTCTTTCATCATTCATATTTCATTCATATGCATGTCGATGACTCATACGATTGAGGGCACCAAGACCGTGGTAGCGGTTTTCCTCCGACGAGCTTGAAGCAATCGTGACCAGTATTGCGTTCAATATAAGGAGTGTCGAAGATCATCCCGTGACAGAAGTTGAGTTACAAAGAAGTCAGTAAACATTATCTAGAATGTGTCTAGGATAAGTGTGTGAGTACTTTTTGTAATCATTGTTCTATAGTGGATTTGTATTGGACTGAGGAGTCATGTGGATTTTCCCTAGAGGTGGGGTTTTACCACGTAAAATAATTCTCTGCGTGTTTCGTTATTTTATGTTCAACACGTTTCAGGATTGATAAGCCATATCAATTTTGCTACTGAAGTTCATTTTTATTTATTTGATTATAATCTTAAATTGGCCTATGCACCCACTCTAGGCATTTTTAGTCATCCTACAGGTAATTTCAATCCCATAGCACCAGCTAGCCAACTCAAACTCGAACAGAAACCAATAATTTTGATTCCATGAGAAATGACCAATTTCTTGAAGAAATCATGCTCTTGAAGAAACTAATCTTGAATCTGACATAATGTATATGAGAATATGTTTCTTCTAGCTAGATGCAGATTTCATATTTCAAAAGCAATTTTCGAAAAATCAATTTAGAAAACTCATAGATGAAAATGGTGGTTTTCTGTTTGAGGAAGATGGAGAGAAAAAGGATAGGAAAAACCTTTTCAAAACCTCGCCGCAAAGTTGACAGCTGCCACAATGGGCATTTACCCAAAAATTCCTAAGTCAAAATAATACACATGGCAACTGAGAAAATTCGTAGATAGGACAAGCAGAAGTAAAAATAAATAAATCAATCAATTTTAAAAAAAAACTCAAAATTGCACTTAACAATATATAGTTCTTCTTCTATATGGACGAACATATGTTATTACCATGTAAACTCCATTGTAAATAAAGAGGAAAGTAGGGAGGAGTTGTATACAATACATGGCATTTGCACTATATAATAACGTCTAGATGTTTGCATAGGAGAAAATCTATAGGACAAACTACATAAAAGCCCCCAACCTATAGGGTCATTTACGAGTTCATACCCGATTGTGGGGACATTTACCGGTACATACTCAACGTCACGGAAACCCTAACCCCTACAATTTCCCCCCTCCGTTAACCAAGCTGTTAGTGAGTCTGTTAAATGCTGACGTGTCAAAAGTGGGACCCTTTTTTTTATGACGTGGATTTCCTCATGGACAAATAAATAATAAAAAATTATCTACTTTTTAAAAATAATAAATATTTGCTTTTAAAAAAATAAAAACCTGAACAACTCTCTCTCTCCTCCTCCCTCCCGACCCACCCAAACCCAGAACTCTCCTCTCCTCTCCAGCATATGCCCACCCCGCAGCCACCATCTTCCCCCAGCGTAGAATTATTGGCTCTATGTATCTACGTTAATTTACTTGGTAGGTAGGCAGGCAGGTTGGTAGGAAAAGAACTTGATTGAAGAATCTTATTAGGCTTTAATAAATAAGTAGGCTTTCTAATTTCTACATTTTTCCATTTTTGTTCTTAATTTTCTGCTAATGAATAATTACTGTTGTTCTTCATGCTCTCAAATTATTCCTTACAACTCAAATTAATCCCTAATTATCGGTAATTGAAGTTCAGATCTGTCATTGTGTACTTGTTTGTTTGCCGAGAATGTTGAGGAAAATGAACATTTGAAATCTTGGGCAGAAAGGGGTGGAGAGATTTCAGGGGAGGAGGGAAAGGGGCTGGGGCTGGGGCGAGGTTTGCGTGGAGAAGAGGGGTGGCGCTGAGCTGAGAGATTTCGGGCAATCAATTGGGGCGCTGGGCAATGAGGAGTCGCTAGGTTATTGGCTGTTAGTTCCTTTTTTTTTCGTTGTTGTTGTTGTTGTTGTTGTTATAACTGTTAAACGGAATGCATTTGTATAAGTTGTTAAAGTAGGGAGTTGTGTCTCTTGATGAAAAGTTATGTTTAGGAAGAGTATCTCTTTAGAAGTCAAGAGTTATGTCTGCAACTCTTGGAACTAATCCAAGACTTATGTCTGTTTATCAAAAGGTCTGATTGTTATTATAAATAGCATGTTATAGGCTGCTGTAACACATATCAAAGAAGTTAACAAAAATCAGTTTGAATAATTTTCTGTTTTACAAACACTCTTTGCCTCAGTTTATATTTCCATCATATACTT